AAAAAAAAGTTGTAGAGCCGTTGGAGGTTGCTGGCTACGATAACAATATTGCACCGGACAACGCACGGCCTCTGCAGGAGCACGACGATGATGAAGAACCGGTGCTATGGGTTCTTAGGAACGGCGTGTACGAGGTTGCGGATGCCTACGAAGCGGCCGATGCATTGGCGGGGCGCGATGGGGCCCCGAGCGCAGCGAGAAGAAGAAGAAGAAGAAGAGGGCCAAGAACCGCTTCACAATACGTGGGGTATGCGTTAAACAGATATTGTGGTACCGAACAGGCTTCCGAGGACAGTACCTGAGCCTTTCGGCCATACCTGCCCCGCCACTAGGGTCCTGGACCCCTTCGCAGCTAGCCTAATACAACAAGCGTGCTCCCACACTTTTGTATAAGCCGGGATCGACACGTTCGATCAACACGCCTTCCGTAGAAGTACCAAAAACCTTGGTAAAGCCAGTATTCTCATATATCGGGTCGATGTTTAATCCTCGAGAGGAATGAGAAGTCAGTATGCGCCGAATACTCTTTCTTTTTTTGTTTAATAAAAAAAAATAATAAAAAACTCTTTTTCCAAACGCTAGATGCGGTAGATGTGGACACACAGTACCAGACTAGCGGGGGACCCCTTCTTCGGTCTCAGAGCTGTGTCGACGAAGACGCCGACAACGAGGGAGTCAGCGATAACGACGTGTTACCACCAGGGTATAGGTTTACCGTACAAGTCGAAAAGACGCGTCGCATAAATCGGTTTCGATTAGACGGACGCGAAATAACAATGGCTATCCGGCAGCCACCCCAAGATCCTGATACGAATACGGTATCTTGGCTGCAGGGTGCTGTCCGGGATATACACGCGTACCTTACAAGTTCGTGTACCGCGCAAGATTATATAGGTCTGACGATTAAATCAGACAGTTTTGCGTGCGGGGCCGCGTGGCTGTCGTACAGGCCGGCTCGAGACTTGGCTGCAGGGTGCAGTCCGGGATATACACGCGTACCTTACAAGCTCGTGTACCGCGCAAGATTATATAGGTCTGACGATTAAATCAGACAGTTTTGCGTGCGGGGCCGCGTGGCTGTCGTACAAGCCGGCTCGAGACTTTCTTGAAAACGACGTGTGGGGTGTAATATCATCCGTCGCGCAGAGCGCCCAGGCGTTCCAAATAGACAAATCTTTTGTCATAGAGTTGTGTATAGTGGAAGTACCGCGGGGTACAGGGCGTGTGTAATTAGCGCACGAGTTTATAAAAAAACACTCTATACTTGCCATAATAAACACCGATAATCTCTGTCTACCTAGATCGCTCGCTGTGGCGATGGTATACGCTGAACGCGGGGAAGTACGCTCTGGGGAACTGCATGAGAGATGGAACGCTGTACGGCGTCAACGGGGCAAATTTCAAAAACAATTAGCTCTCGAGCTTGTGGCAAACGCCTGTGTAGACATACCGCCCGATGGCTGCGACGCTCTGGGGAACTGCATGAGAGATGGAACGCTGTACGGCGTCAACAGGGCAAATTTCAAAAACAATTAGCTCTGGAGCTTGTGACAAACGCCTGTGTAGAAATACCGCCCGATGGTTGTGGTATTCGGGAAATTGATAAATTTCAAAGACACCTTGCTCCGGATGGTATAGCCATTGTTGTTTACGAGTTCGACAGTGTAGGCAGCGGTGAGAAACCGCTGTACGACGGATCGCAGATAGTCGATAGCGCGTACGGTTCAGGGAAACCACGGCAAACTCTCCGCATCCTGTATTATAATAATTCGCAGCATTATCAGCCTATTTTAAATATGCGGGGTGCGGTCGGTAGTCGGGGTTTTTACATACCATGTAACAGATCTTACACGCACGAGGCACAACATAAGTGCTCCAACAAATGCGCTAGATGCTTCGGAAAACC